GGAAAGCCCAAGACATATTTGTAACTTCTATTTTAATTTCCAAACAATCATCTGTGGAGATTTAATTGGCAAAAATCAGTAATAATCTAGCAGATATAATAATAAAATCAACATGTTTGTTCTGATGATTATATCAAGAGCACTAGTTCACAAATTGTGAGGATAGCCACTCTACCTGGGTCAAATAAAACAATTGTAAAGGTGAATGGGAATGGGGATCCTGCTTTAGTGGTACTGAGTTTTGTTTGGCATATTAAAAAACTTTTGGAAATGGTCAGTGATTACTGCTGCACAACATGGTTAATATAATTAGTATGACCAAATTCTATAGTAAAATGGTTAAAATACTCATTTTAATTACATATAATTTACTATAATAAAACAAAAAGAATTACAAGAAAAACTGAATGATATGCTATCTTATAAGAAAGACTCAACAATACAAATCTTAAGGATCCAGGAGTCAGTGTCCCGCTGCTCCATGGCACATGGCCGCAGTCCCCAGGGTGCATCCAGAAGCCCAGGTCCATGCGGCCCTTACAGTGCATACCACCAAAGACACTCCACGCCTGAAGTCAGTCCCCCATAGCATTTTCAGACATTCTTCCCTGGAAAGGGCTGAAAAAGGGAGATCCAATGTGGAAACGCCACTGGGTGAGCTGGGCTCTACCTCAGACACCCTTGTAACTTGAGGACTTAAGTCAGAAAATGCATGGAGTCTGAGGAAACAGAAGACAGCTCTACCAAGATTGTTAACTGTTCCAGGCAGACAAACACGGTCTTACTACTTCAGGGCCCTATATACTGTATTAAGAGATGTATTGTTCCGGCAAACCTGTGACTGACATTTTCAGTGATTATAATTGCAAAATTCCCTGACAATTAACTCCCATTGTTCATGTAAATAGCATCTAGCCATGAAAGAACTGATTCTATACAAGTGAATAATTCAGATCCTGTCACATGGATTTAGCCTCCTTAGGCCCGATATCCCTCTCTCAACAGGACTTTAAGGAATTAGTACCAGGAGCTAATCAAAGGCAATATTAACAGAAGATCATTATGCCCTAGGAGGGTGATCAATAAAACTATCATAAATTAACAAGGAGTTTTTGAAAGGGAGCAAAGACAGATAAAAACCAAACCAACCAAACAAACAAACAAACAGGAAAAACAACCACACATAGATCCAGGAATGGGTTGGGGGCTCACACTAAATCCTAGCTCCAACTTAAGAACAATTAGTTCTTACATCATGGCCCTGCTCAATACTCGCCCTCAGGAAGGGAAGTCAGAAGATATGGGTGCTCTAGCAAACTGTGGTGAAGAAATTAGATGGTGCCTGGCTAATCAGATAAAATAGCATGTAGGGTCTTAAAGGATTGTCTCCAAACAGGCAGCGATCTAAGTGAAATGCCCACTAAGTCCACATGGAAGAAGCATACCATCATCAGTCACCTAAGGATTATAAATCAGATAATCTGAAGTGGAACGAGGCATTAGTATCAGAGCTGAAATTGTGAGAATCTGGTTTGCAGAAAGCTATGGCTGACAGTGGGAGCCCAACATACATTTGTGGGAACTATATAGGAAATAAGCCTCTGGTGATCTCCCTCCATCCACAGCTGAGGGATGGAAGGAAAGTGGTTACTAAACAGAGGGCATTGGAGAGATGAGTGTAGAAGTTCAAAGGGATAAACTAACTTGAGCAGTTAGAACCTTGTCAGTTGAATACCCCCTCTCATGCAGGCGGGACCTGGTCTGGTTTCAACATTTTCTGTACTTTTTTTCTTGCTTTGTGTTCTGTTTGTTCATATAAGGTTTATCTCAGAGGCGTTACGTCATTGGTGGTTACCCTTTTGAAGTGGTGTTAGCTGTTTTTTTCTGTTTCTCAGTATATGAAACCCAGGATTGATGAACCTATAGGGAAAGCAAGTAGAATAAGTGTGTGTGTGTGTGTGTAGTGGTGAGGGGGGTAAAATGTAGACAATGTCAAGGAGTACAGGAAGAAAAATAATATTTGGGAATATTGTGGTAGCAATTGTACAATACTACTTGACATAACTGAACTTTGGAATGATCTGCTATATGTATTAACTCCTAATGAATAATAAATTTTTTAAAATAATGATACAAATCACCTTTTAGGTCCACAAACCTCAAAGAAAACAACTGGAAATGGGTTGGCGGAACTCTGTAGGAACTCTAACTTGTTGCAGCAAGAGAGAAATGCTAAATAAGGAAAAATTCCAACTTTTAAATGGTAGGAAAACAATTATTTTTGACTGCCTGCATATTTTCCATTTCCCAGCTCAGCTATAGCAGTGATGGCAATGGTGGCCTATGAACTGCACTCTCAGAAGGGGCCCGACCTTTGGCTTTGGAGTAAGCAGACCAGATTTTGCTAGTCGTGTGTGTGTGTGTGTGTGTGTGTGTGTGTGTGTGTGTGTGTACTGAACTCTCTGTTGCCTGAAAGATAGAATGGGGTTGCTCACATGAGATAAGGAGGAAAGATAATCAGTGCTTGAAAACTGTGACCAGCAGCAGCTGCGGGTCTCTCAGTAGGGTGATTGCAGCACATCCCTAGGAGCTCTGGCTAGTGGTTACCAGTTGGGCTGCAAGGAGCAAGATCAGATAGATGGGGCTTTCGACTCCCTGAAAAAGTTAGTCTCGAAAACCTGACTGGATAGTAGGAGTGAGAGCACATACCTAATGCCTAAGAGCTGATGGAGAAACCGGAGTGAGCATTTCTTTCAGAAATTAGTGCTGACAAAAGCATTGTGTATGAGGATAGGGGGGATTGAGAAAGCCACACCTGTGCTGGCGACAAAATGCATGCATTAGAAGAAAGAAGAAAGAAAGAAAAACCCCTATCAAAACCCTATACTTTCATCTTGGAGTGATCCCAAGACACACTGAAAACAAGCCTACTTTGTAATACATTGGAAGGCGTCTGGCTTTTTTGTTTTCTTTAGTCTGTTTTAGCTGTCAGAAATATTCATGAATCAGCCTTTTTGTTTTCAGTGTCCAATTGCCAAGACCCGTAGATGCTGAGAGTCAACTGCACTGGAGAAAGCAGCTGGACCCCCACACTTCTGTGTCCAATCTTCAGGTCTGGGAGACAAAGGGCAGCATGATGTTGACTTCCTGGTTCTTGCATTTTGGCTACACTGCTAATTGTCTTCAACACAATCCTTAGTATTCTAAATTCCTTTTTTTCCTGAGGTGATACCTAGGTGGTCATATTTATATCATCCTGAGTTGATCCTGGAGACTCAGCCTAGAGCCTGTGATTTGTGATCCTAAGACACTTGTGGTGGCTTTATAGCACCCGATTTTATGAAGAAACTTAACTTCTCTTTATAACACTTGTATTGCTTTCTTTTCACCTACCCAGAAATATGATTTTAATATAATAGATAATTAAATGTAGTACTGACTAACTATGATATTGACCTTTTTATGTTCTTTTATATGTGAAGGGGAAGGAGCATTATAACTTATTGTGATGATGTATATACAAGTCTTTTAAAAAGCAATTTAACTTTGGAAGTGTATGATATGTGATTATTATATTAAGAGAACAACTAAGAAAAAGAAAACAAACTTGACTAATGGTTAGCACGGAGCAAGGAGCAACATCTTTTGGTTAGGGGACTATCGAGTTTACGTTAATGGTGGTGGAGTAATTTGGAGAAGGATATCAATAATGGTTGTACAACATGAAAAGTATAATCAAGGGCACTGGATTGTACATGTGGACACTGTCAATTTGTAGAATGTTTTGTTGTTATGCTGTCAGTGAAGAGTCTCTTCCTAATTTTAAACTTGGCTCAAATTGAACTTGACAATGAGCCTTTAGAGCTCTGTTTAGGTGTTTCTTTAGCTCTCCTGAATGCCTTGCTCACCACTGGAGCATTTTTCTACCCAGCTAAAATGTATTTTATTAGCATAAAAATACATAGTTCTAAATATAGCTATAAAACAATGGCCTATAATTTCATCGCAAAAAGATGATTACTGGTTAGCTTAGTTTGGACTTCATAGAACATCAATTTCCACCAAATTAGCTTTCATCAATTCATTACCCTAAAATTCCCAAGTGTTTGATTTATTGTTTTGTTTTTTAGAGAATATGTAATGAACATAAAGGATCAATTGTGCACACAGAACACGATTGGCACACAGTCGTCATACAACACATATTGACAAATTTTTACCATTCTATGCAATAATACAAACGGCTTTTAAATAGTTAAATGAAACATTAAGTAAATCCAATACCGTGTTATTTTATTTCTCTATAGCCTATGACAACACCACCAATATTAGGCTTACTTATGCTCCCAGATCTTCCTTGTGTGAACTCCACAATGTGATAGAATAGGGGAAAATGGACACTGGAATCAGACATACCCGATTTTGGCAACTTATTGGCTATTTGAAATCCTAAAACACAGTTTTCATAATTCTATCTCAAACAACTGATGCTAACAACAATGAGAAACATTGTAAGTAGTCAAAACGTGTTTGCATTCTTATTTTTCATTCCATTCCATAATCCCTTGATTCCGGAACTGTACATCATATGCCTTGTTTGTGTGGATGGTGTGCTGAGTTTAGAGAAGGGGGCAGGAGCAGTTTCCTGCCCTTAGTAACATTTGCCTTACTGAAGTCAGATCAGAGACTGAGGCAGAGCCCAATCTTTTCGCACCTTAAGGATAAAAATAACCTTTCTGCTACACCCCGAGTCAGAGTTACCTGATAACTTTCCCTTAAAATCAGTCTGTGAACTATCAAGGGCTCATG